CAGCAGTAGCAGACAATCCTTCTGTTTTCACACAGCATGTATAATTTCCAACAACAATATCACCCAGTAGAGCTTACTTATAGAAATATTTTATTTCAGAACAGGTTCTCTTATAAATGCCTACTGCATTATTTCTTTGTGTTTTAACCTAAATTTGTACTACCTCAGTCACAAACTTTCCACATATATGTGGAAACCTCAACAAAGGCATCCTAGTTACATTTCTAAAGAGGGGAAGGAAAAAAAAGATTTTAGCACAGATTCTCAAACTATTGTAAATAAATATGCTTTTGCATCTTCTTTTTATTCAAGAAAACATTTTTTGATTTTGAGTATCCAACAAAGAAAGCAGCACCCAAGAAGTGTCAGAAAAATATTAAAATTTCTAACGAAGTCTGCGTAACTCCACGACTTCTTCTTAAAATAAGTAAATAAATAACGCTGTAGCCACAGTCAAGTGAGGAATGAAATGTCTCATCCCCAATTTTTAGTTAGTGACATTTCTGCCACCAGGATTTCTGTCCGCAGAACTGCTCAAAGTGGTTATAATGACAAGAACCGAGAAGTGGCTCTTTGGGTTGATGTTTTTTGAAAGGTAGCTTTGTACGAACAGCTGTGTTTTCAAAATGCTTGCCACCTCTAAATTGGTCCTCGTGAAGTGAACTGTTTGCCTTACTGCCAACAGGGCACATTGCAGTGTAGCTGCTGCATTTTTAGTTTTTATCACTGTCTCTCTAACTGCTGAAGTGGAAAAGAAAGATTGCCAAAATCTGACGTGCTTCTTTTCCTTTCTGCCCACTCTGACTTGGTTTTTAGCTGTCTGTTGCTCCAGTGATGAGAAACATTGCTCAGTTTATTCATTCACTGAATGTCTTTTCCAGCTCCAATAATGGTGATACACTCTTGTGAATCAAGGCTCCAGCTGTCAATAGCAGTGACCAAAGCCCACCTAAGACATGCCAATACATTAAACCTAAGAAGCACACCATATTTGATAAGACCATAACCATGGACTGAATGTAATTCAGATGGTCTTCCAGTAGAATTTAAGGGATCTCTCCACAAAGATTTAAGCACCTTATGACATAAGGTCTCGTACAGGAAAACAGAAATCCTGAATAATTTTTAGATGGAGACACCACTGAGACTTTTTAATTGCAGACATTAGTAACCAAATAATAGATTATATTCAAATGAGAGAAAACATGTATAATCAAAGTGCACATGATAACTTTACAGTGCAGTTAAGTAAAGATTTGTACATCAAAGACACCAAAAATATAGTTTGCAGCTCCTCCTGCTGCTTGTGTCCCCAGCTTATTGGTGACATTTGCTTCTGAGCCTCACCTCCACAGGTGTTTTTGTTGTGCATCATAATTCATATAAGTTTTATGAATCCATCGCATTGCATCAAAAATACTGAATGGGCATCAAAAGCTGCAAAAGAGCTCTAATGAAATAATATTCTTACTTAATCATTTTTTTGTTTTTTTGAAGGCAAAAATTACTTTTGCAAAGAAACCTTCATGTATTTAAATCTCAAATATCTTAAATACTATTCAAAGGAACAGAACAGGTTTCTTTTTGTTCATATTAGTACCTTTAAAATTGGATATTTGAAATGCAAAACTACTGGAAGGCATTAATAAAAGTTCTGAAAATCCCTGTTAGTAACAGTGTTTCAATTTGGTCTTTATTTACTGTTATCAGTATACTAATGAAGAAAGGGAATCAAAGCATTTCCCAAAGTTCAAAGTCTCAAACAGTTAAATGCTTACTCTCCGATTATCTCTTTGAGGCTGCATTCTTCAAGGAAATTGAACTTCAATTACAGTTTATAGTCTTGAGTGCAAGATAGCAGTTTATATGGGGTTGATTTTATTACAGTAGGCTGCAGCTCACTTCTAAGTTCGAAATGGTTTGTATACATCTCAAGGTTAGAAATTAACTACATACACACACAGAAGCACAGACACATATCAGTTGACAAAAGCAGAATCACAGTCCCATACTCTTTAACATCATACTGAGCAATGATTTCTTCAAATGGGACCAGAAAACTTATCAGCAATCTGTATTTTCTTAACCTCTTAATCAACATTCTCTATTGAAGCTTCACACAACACTACTACTAGAAGCAAAAAGACCACAACACTGCTTTACTACTTAAATGACTGTACATAAGTTTTCCTGTGCATTTCACTATTTCTCTTTTTTTTGTATAGTGTCCTAAGTCATTATGGGTGTTCATACTACTCTGCAAATAAAAATTCCATGCCATGAGTGATTGTCAGTAGCAAGTCATTCTCATATAAAATAATACTTAGATATAACACTAGTTAAAACAAAAATCTTTCAGAAGTGACTCTGTAGCAAGGACAGAGTGAAAATTATTCTGCGATCAGTTCTTCAAGGCATTCAACCCCAGTTAATATTTTATACAAAGCAGAAGCACATCAACTGCTCAAATAAGAAAGATTTATGCTACAACACCACATGAGCTTGAGTTGGTGTCTTATTAGCTGAAGCATTCACCAGAAAGAGAAAAGACATCAGATTAAATCATAAGGAAAAAGAATTTCAACACGGATTTCTCACATCTTTTTTTGATGTCATTTGCGGAAAGCCTCATCTAATATGTGATGTGAACATGTCCACTAATGCTCCTGTTTTGGCATGAGAATCTCAGAGAAACTAAAATATTAACTGATGTTGGCACTATGTACATGAAAAGGTAGTAGTTTGTATGCTTTTACTGGTAGAAGATATCAAGTAGCTAGAACTTCACACATTAAAACTCCATCTCAGTCCACATCCAACCATTCATAGTGACCAACAACAAATGTCCAGTGTGAAGCAGAAAAGCAGGTCAATTACGTCGTTACTATTTCTCAGAATATTTTCCTACTCATGAGCATGATAACGAAATCTAAATACTGAGCTTAGATATCCACAGAGCAGTTTGTTGAACCTCAATAATTTTATTAGTTGGGTAAGGTTTCCAATGATGTTTCAATCATTAGAAGCTTACAGTTTGTATTCGCCACACTTTCAAATGTATTTGCAAAATACAATTCAAATAAATTTCCAGAAGTCAACAGGACATGTGTCTAAAGAAAGTACATGAACAACAGGACTCAAAAAGCACTCCCTCTCTTCCTCCCTACCTTTTCTATAATAAATCACATCTGTGCATTTGGCCTAGAATGATTTCTACCTAGAGATCTTTAGTAAATGGGACAGTACTCTAGATACATTAGGTAGGTAATAGGTACATTACTTACCTTATGGTGGATAATTTAAGAGCAAGTTATAAGCTAGACATTAGCTGTCCATCACATATCTTTATTTTTCTGCAAGCCCACATTCATCTCATTTCCCAGAACAAAGAAACAGATTATATTTTTACTATTTCTGTCAGCGTGTCTTCACATTTCAGTGTAAACTGGGCCATTTCCATAAAAACATATTATTAATCCTCAAAACAGCAGAATGTTTTCTGTATGTTTACCTCACACATTGTCTGTTCACTTTTTTAAAGTAAAATATTAAATTTCCTTAAACGTATATAACATAGAAGCCATAAACACTTGCCAAATGTTCTTCAAATTGGCCCAACTCTCATGCAACTCAGTATGGTCCAACACCTTTCCTCTGAGCTGATATGGATTGTCTATTTGATCAATATGTCCAGTCCTCCTGAGCCTGCAAAGGAAATCTGAAATCCAAATCCTTGACACTTGACTTTTGTAATTCTCTCTATCGATACCAACAACACCTCAGAAGTTATTTATCAATGTCTATGAAGCATTGATTCTCATCTTACAGTTTGTAAACAATGTCACTGTGAATTTTGATGTAAGAGGCAAAGGGGAAAAGGGCGCAGGTGTGTATAATACGGTAGTCTTCTCAGATAAGTATGGTTTAAGTTAGTGTATGGACTATTTTCTGAAGTAAAAGCAGCAGCTAATGAATACTACTTCAAATATAAAACATGGAAACTTTTGAATTATATCACTTGGAATACAAATACACTCACGATAGGACATTTTTCCATAGAAAGAATAAGTAGATAACAAAAATCTAAAGAAAAGATACATTTGACACTTCAGGACATCCAGACTCCCATCTTTATTATCATTTGAGATATGAAGAAGATCTGTAACTTCATTGAAAATTTCAGATTCTTGCAGAGGTATGGATTGAAAAGGAATTGCTAGCATTGAATATTTTTTCTTATCTCTCTAAAGACATTTTTCTTGTTTTTTTTAATCCCTTGCAATTGAAATTATTGAAGCCAAAATATGCACGGCAGTATTCAGACTAGGTATGTCAAGATGACAACCTATTTATTATGGGGTATAGTATTCTTTCCAGTTATTACTTAAAGAAGGAGGTGGGGAGGGGAAGTTTTACTCCTAAACAACAGCTACAGAAAAAATCAGAAAATAATAAAACTAGTGGATTATTAATTTTGTATATTTCTGTTTAAAGATCTCAGAGGCTCATCTAAGTATGTCACCATAAGAAATGAGTATTAATCCAATCATTTCATTTTCCCTTGATTACACATAAGTTATGTTCTTTATATTTTTAAATTTCACATTCAAAAGATAAGTATTCATTCTCTGTAGAATTTTGCTCAGCGTTTACATTTTCAAAGCCTGCTTCTGGTGATAACTGTAAGAAAAAAAGAAAGTATTTTAAAGGAACATAAAATATGTAGAAAAATCTCACTGATATATTCTGCTTTATACTTTGTAGATCTTCATCTTTCTTCAGAGCAATGCTCCACTGGATATATGACAAGCTACAAGTCTAAAGATATATTACTATATTAACTTCATTTATGCTATTCGGATACCACTACAATACTCTAGGCACCACAGTCATTTTCTTTTCTTACTTGCAATAATTAACATTAGAGAGCAAGAGATAGCTAAATTAATTTATAACTTTATAGTTTCTTATACTAATTATTTCCTCTTCTTATATTTTAGGTCATCCTGTCATTCCTGCAAACACTAATCAATCATGGGATTTGAAGTTAATACTACTAAATAAATGAATTGCTTAATCTCCTATGACCATCTATACATGCCTCATCTTCACAAAGCTTATCAATTTTATGTCATCAAGGACAGAGTGACCTTCATTTCCACAAAATGTCTCTTGCTACTGGACAAGTTGCTTGTAAATTTATCACTTATCCTCAGGAAGAAAGTCCTTCGAAATCTGCCTCTGACAAATGCAAGTCTATGTTTTATCAATTGACCGGGTCATACTGAATTCCAAAATCGTAACCGTGGAATACTAAAGGGTCTCTTACTTTTCCGAGCATTTCAGCTAAAATGAAGGACATGCAACTCAAAATTAATTTTCTACTTGGCCTAGTTATCACTGCAGTGGTACAGGCTGTAGAAAAAAAAGCAGACTGCCCAGAGTTGTGTATATGTGAGATCAGACCTTGGTTCACTCCCCGGTCTGTATACATGGAGGTTCCGACAGTGGACTGTAATGATTTAGGCCTTTTAAATTTTCCAGCCAGACTCCCTGCTGACACACAGGTTTTACTTCTACAGACTAACAATATTGGAAAAATTGAACACTCAGTAGACTTCCCAGTGAATTTAACTGGTCTAGACTTATCTCAGAACAATTTATCCTCGGTGGCCAGTATTAATCTTACAAAAATACCACAGTTGCTTTCTGTGTACCTGGAAGAAAACAAACTTACTGAACTCCCTGAAGAATGTCTCTCTGGACTCCACAACTTACAAGAGCTTTACATTAATCATAACATGCTTTCTATGATTGCGCCGGGAGCTTTCATAGGCCTCAATAATCTTCTCAGACTTCATCTCAATTCAAATGGTCTGCAAATGATCAACAGTAAGTGGTTTGAAGCTATTCCTAATCTGGAGATTCTTATGATTGGAGAAAATCCAATAATCAGAATCGAAGATATGAACTTTAAGCCTCTTATCAATCTGCGCAGCCTAGTTTTAGCCAGCATAAATCTCACTGAAATACCAGATAATGCTTTGGCTGGCCTTGAAAATTTAGAAAGCATTTCCTTCTATGACAATAGATTTGTTAAAGTGCCCCATATTGCTCTTCAAAAGGTTACAAATCTCAAATTTCTGGATCTAAATAAGAATCCCATTAACAGAATACGAAGGGGGGATTTTAGCAATATGCTACACCTGAAGGAGTTAGGAATTAATAACATGCCTGAACTGATTTCCATAGATAGTCTTGCTGTTGATAATTTACCAGATTTAAGAAAAATAGAAGCTACCAACAATCCAAGATTATCATACATTCATCCAAACGCTTTCTACAGACTTCCCAAGCTGGAATCACTCATGCTCAACAGCAATGCACTGAGTGCCCTGTACCGCAGTACAATAGAATCGCTGCCTAACCTGAAGGAAGTTAGCATACACAGCAATCCCATTAGATGTGACTGCGTCATCCGCTGGATTAACATGAACAAAACAAATATTCGCTTCATGGAGCCAGAGTCTCTGTTTTGTGTAGACCCTCCTGAATTCCAAGGCCAGAATGTGAGACAGATACACTTCCGGGAAATGATGGAAATCTGTCTCCCTCTGATAGCTCCTGAAAGCTTTCCATCTACTTTGGAATTAAAAACTGGCAGCCATATTTCCTTACACTGCAGAGCAACAGCAGAACCAGAACCTGAAATCTACTGGATAACACCATCAGGACATAAACTTTTGCCTAATACTATTTCTGATAAATACTACATTCATTCCGAAGGGACATTAGACATAAGTGATGTAACAGAGAAAGAAAGTGGCTTATACACATGCATAGCAACAAATTTAGTTGGGGCAGATCTAAAGTCAGTCATGATTAAAGTGGATGGCTCTCTCCCTCAGGACAGCAATGGACCTTTGAATATCAAAATCAAAGATGTAAAATCTAATTCTGTTTTGGTTTCATGGAAAACAAGTTCTAAAATTCTGAAGTCCAGTGTTAGATGGACTGCTTTTCTGAAAGCTGAAAACTCTCAGGCTGCACAGAGCGCTCGAGTACCATCTGATATAAAGGTATATAACCTTACACATCTAAATCCATCAACTGAATACAAAATTTGTATAGATATTCCCACTATTTACCCACAGAATAAGAAACAATGTGTCGATGTAACCACGAAAGGACTAGATACGGCAGTGAAAGACTATGAAAAGAACAGCATCATAGGATTTCTTGCCTGCCTTGGTGCTCTTCTGGGAATCATCTCTGTGGTGTATCTCTACAGCTGCATCTCACGAGACATGAACTATGATGTTCGACACAGCTATGTAAGGAATTATCTGAAGAAACAATCCTTTTCACTCAATGAGCTTTATCCTCCTCTAATCAGTCTTTGGGACATGGGCAAAGAAAAAAGCACAGCAATGGAAGTTAAATCAACTCTAATAGGCGTACCAACCAATATGTCATAAATATCACTTAATTTCTGAAATAAAAAGCACAGGACTGTACGTGTGCTAAATAAAACAGAAACAAGAAAAATTGTACCTTCTAGAAATTAGATGCCTGGACTTTGCTGGTGACAAATAGGAATATGTACTGCCTCAGCGTAAGAGAAGAATTTTAACTAAGGCTTCTAAGAGTATTCTACCAACCAAATACAATTAACTTCATTTTCTAGAACTTTCGTGAGACTTTGAAGTCTGGAATACAGTGCAAGTAGCCAAGAACATTTTCTGTATTTTCTTTTTTTTTTTTTTTTACTATTACTTAAAAGTAGTGGAACTGAGCAATACCTCCTCCTGTGCTGTATTACAAACAATAGCCACGAGTTTTGCAGTGAAAGCTATACTAGGATTGACACATGGTGTAATGAAATGGACAAATTCTGTAGAGTAGACACAGTGAGTATGTGAAATTTTTTTATGAGGAAAATACATTTTTGATTAAAATCAAAACCGTTTTTGGCTTGTTTGTTCCTAGAGAAGTATTTGGGGTGCTCTTGTTTGACAATAAACAAACTCATGATAATATCTCTTAGAATATTTCCTTACATATTCTCCTGCTGAAATGCCAGTTGGAGCATGGAGGTTATTTTTGATGGTTTTAGGCTGTACAACTGCAATGACCCGCATAATAAACACTTTCACAAAGTATTTACTCATACTGGTCAGTAATAATAACTGTATTTTATATATCGCTTAATGTGGGAGGTAGAAGAGATAAGGGATCTCCTGGAAAGAGTCCAGTGGGGGGCCACAAAGATTATAAAGGGTCTGGAGCATCTCCCCTATGAGGAAAGGCTGATTAACCTGGGTCTGTTCAGTCTTGACAAAAGAAGACTGAGAGGGGATTTTAATAATGAGTATCTTAAGTGTGGGAATCAAAGGGACTCTTTTCAGCAGTCTGTGGGGACAGGGCAAGGGGAAATGAAATGGCCACAAACTGGAGCGTAGGAAGTTTCGCACCAATATGCAAAGAAAATCCTTCACAGTGAGGTGACGGAGCACTGGAACAGGCTGCCCAGGGAGGTTGTGGATTCTCCTTCTCTGGAGATATTCAAGACCTGCCTGGATGCCTACCTGTGCGACCTGCTGTAGTGGGCCTGCTTTGCAGGGGACTGAACTTGATGATCTCTAGAGGTCCCCTCCAACCCCTACAGTTCTGTGATCCTGTGAATGGCAGAAAGGAGACATAGGACTGACAGGGAAATAGATTATTAGTTATTGATAAAAGCACATTCTAAGCTACTTTGGTATTTTCCAAAAAGACTGAAAAATAAATGCATTTTTAGACTCAGAACATATAAATCCAACATTTTGTCTTCAATCAAAAGGGAAATTCAGTTATTAGTAATGTCTAAACTTAAGGCTGCGATACACTGAACTCATCTAGTTTGAACAGCTTAGATAACATTAAGGATTTATTTGTAAACCTGCGTGCTTCTCTTCAGCAATAACAACAACTGACTAGTTTTTAAACACATCAGCTTTCACAATCTAACAAGCAGTAAATGACTGACAGAAACATTACTAGTAGAAATGAAATAAATGAAATGAAATGAGAACAATGAATACCTGACTATACTCATATCAAAGTTAAAATTCTCATGAGAGCAAGACTGGGCCCATAAGCAGAAATGTGCTCAGAATCCTGTTGATCAGAATTTTGATCACAAGCCAAAAGTGACTCTTGCAGAATAACTACTAGCAAGTACTCTAGAAAAAAGACATCAGACCGTTAAGATGGCTGAAGATATGGTGACTCCAGATAAAGAAATTGATTTATATATATATATACGTGTGTGTGTGTGTGTGTGTGTGTGTGTGTGTTATTTCATTTGATGACTATAAGTACAAACAGGAAGAATGAAGAAAAAAAGTTATCACTGAATTTTGTAACTAGGGAATTAAATATCAACTGAATGCATAGGTAGCTTGTATAAAAAGTTAAAATAGGAGTGGCAAACATTACTTTTAAGTAATTCACATATTTTATATACTTAAAACTCTACAATAACATACATTTTATTTTTTTAGACTTGGCTAAAGTAAAAATTTCTATGGAATCATTGACAGCATGATTGTAGCTAGAAGCAGAACTACCTTTTGTACACAGAAATTCTCTTTTTCCATATATTTATAGGTTTTTTTATATAATTTCAAAGTATTATTGGCATGTAAACATTCATAACACAGAAAAATCATTTCATTTTCCCTTCTGCTATTTAATAACAGGCATTTGTTTTAAAAATATCTTTTTTTCTAATTAAGTTTTAGCATAATAAAATCATGCAAAGGTTATTTTCAAAGTTTTTAAAGGCAGAGAGAAACAAGCTGGTGTTAATTCTAAACCATCAAAAATAGGATATTAGGAGGTTTTATATGCTTCAGTGAAAAAAAGAAAACCAACAACATGATGAATCAGTGTCCTGCACAAAGGAACGCTGAAAGGCCATCAGACAAAGATGCTGAAATGGTGTTGCTGATTTCAGGGCCATAGACAGAGTTTATGGAGTGCTGCAGTTTACAAAGAAAAAGTACCCAGCACTGGGCCATCACCGCGTAGACACCGTGCACGTTAACAAGAACATGTGGGTATGTCCTGTATTCCTACCTTTTGAATCAAGCTACAAGCTGAACTCACAATTAATACAGCTTAGAAACAAGAATCTCTTGCAGACAGAAACAGCTCTGCACAGTTTTATATAATATGAATGAAAATCCTTCCCCCCACCTCCATCATCATGTAAGCCCCACTTATATCTACATTATTTAAATATCTCATTAAATTGTTTTGTTTCTAGATAAATTGCATTAGCGTATAGAATTTTTGTACTTAACTGCTAAGTAACTAAGCATATCTCACAACTATTTGAATCACTCTGTAATTTATCTTGATATCAAAATATACCTGAAAATATACCTGATATCTTAAGAAATTGACTGAAGAAGAATAGAAGAAGAAGATTGAAGAAGAATGGAAACATTGCTAGTTGCCCAGATGTAAATGATTTAATTTATCTCTCAAAAAGAAAAATGCATTTGTATTTTGTTAAATAACATTGCAATCCTCCTCTCACGTGACTCTGAGGAAGTCATTTTATAATTTAACACCTTCCTTTCTCCATTTCTGAAACATTAAGTTGAGATTTTGTTTTTCGTAGGAAAAAAGAACTTTGGTAACCAAACAACTATACAGACACATCTCCATAATCACTGTTAAACTGACTAATATTCTTTATTTCTGTGTGTCCTATCAGCTATCATTTAAAAGTGCTACTTCAAGGAATACTAGGAAAATGCACAAAAGAACAGGATCAAAAGTGTCCCTACATTAGGTTACAAGGTCACAGATTTTTCAGTAGCTCATATAAGTTGAGAATTTTCACACCATAAAATAGTGGCCAAACAATAGATTAATTTTATCCTGGCAAAAACTCTCTGAAACAAAAGAAAACAGAAGGCAAGATCAGTGTTTGAAATGTCAGTGTCTGGGTAAGCAGTACTTAAAGCATAAGACATTAATTCAGTGTTTGGACTCAGTCGCCTTACCTCTTTCTGTTAGCTACTACATTGAAAATAGCAATGCTCTATTCATGGAAAGATTAACCATTTACTTCTTGGTAAAACATTTACAGATATCAATTCCAACATTCCATCAGTTAACAGAGACAAGATGATATATATGTACATTTAAGCTTTTGTTCTAGCTACCATAATGTGAAACTGCAACTTCAAGTGGTAGCTACAAAATACATAAAAGATGGCAATTTCCCTCTTAACAAAAAAATCAATTTCCAAAATTCACTAATAAAATGCACTCTGTTTATGTAACCTTAACCAATGAACTCAAGATAACTTAAAGAATAAATGGAGATCCTTTCCTCAATCTTTTGCTGGCTAGTCATAGAAAAGACACAAGGATCAACAACTGTTAAGTAGTATTTGCTATTGGAAGACAGATGAGATGTTTCAGAATAAGTGCCTCTACAATGTAGAAAATAAGTTATTTACTAAATGATTCCAGAAGAACAGAGGAGAAAAATGCACTGAATAGAGTAAAATCAGATTACTGACAGGAAGCTTTACATAGCAGAAAGTATGTAATAAGTATGAAAACCACAGGAGACATTTTTAAGGATACAGTTAAACAAAACAAAGAGAATAACCTTTAAGCATAAACTACTAAAGACAAACCAAGATTAACAATTCACCTCATGCTTGGAAAAAGATCAGCTACCACACACTGTTTTCATAGAGGCTATGAACTAGATAACTGGAAATAAATGAGTTAAATAATGAGTAAAATAATGAGTTAAAAATTACTGGTCTACTGAAGATCATCATAACATGTTATTTCATCATAACACAGCTTATCAAAAGACATCTTGGATAAAACTGAAGAGGGAATGACAGAAAAAAATTAAACAAGTGATTTCTTTAGAACACTTTGGGGTTACATGATCAACAATGGAAAGATGATGAAATAAACTGCTAAGTAGGAAAAATACTCATTTTTTATGGAATTTGGGTTGACCTTGCCATCTAATTGTTTTTGTAGATTAGTTGGTTGACCTACAAAATCTGCAATCTGAGTAGCTTCCAGTTTAGTGCCACTGGAAAACAACCTGAATCAGTCTCCTTGGGAAAAGACTGAAGAGATACTGGTGAGAATACAATGCTACAACAGTAGCCACAAAACAAGAAGAATTATGAAAACAGTACAAATATTCTGCGAACACAATATGAAGCTACTGAGATCAAAATCCAACCCAGATGTCAAAGTTTGTGAAATGAAAAAATACCTAAATTATTGATTTAACTGCTGTAGAAGTTGGGTTTTAAACAAAATAATTGCAATTACTCATTTATACACATAATTCCACTTCAGTTACAGCTAAAATGTGGTAAGATATGAATAACTGGAATATTAACGTACATGGCCATATCCTGTCTTGTGAGATCTGTCCTTTGAAACGGAGAACTGACCTATTCAATAAAAATTCTAAAGGAGATGAATCCTCCTGGAAAAAAAAAAGAAAAAAAAAAAAACTGCTGTTCTTCAAACATTAAAATATTTTTATATGATTTCTTTAGGCACTAAGGAAGAAAAACTTCCATTTTCATTTGCCAAATGACTGTGCAGGTATTTACATAACATGAGTTAATAACAAATCATTAAATGAAATGCAGATACAAAATGTTGACATTCCTGTAGAACACTTGATATTCACTGAACTAACCATTTCAGATTTTTAAAAGTTCCTTTGGAAAAAATATTTAATTCTTTCTAATTGTCAGCCCACAACGACACTGAAGTAGTACTCTGTAAATTAATAGCCTTCAAAGCAACAGAATCTTTTGCTGTCGTTCTTCCTTTCAGAGGAAGATGAAAGTTAGAAATAAAAATCCTCTTGCTGCA